GTATGAATCTGGTGTGGGGGGGCGGAGATCAAAGACATTCCATTTAGAGCAATGAAATGTAATTGTTGAGAAGTGACTGTCCCACCATGGACTTCATTTCTGAAACCTCTGCATCTAGATGGCACCATGTGACTGACTTATGGCTGGTGGAATTGAGTGAAAGGAATTCATGCCAGTTCTAGGTGGGCCCCTAAACTACCACATACGGTTCTGCACACTCTCTGTCCTTGTGTGCCAGCTGCAGGTGGACGCCCATAGCAACCTTGGAGGCCAAGTGCTGAAATGGCAGACTGCCTACCAGTCTGGGTCCCTGAAGGGCTATGGAGAATGGAACCACTTCTCCATGGACCACGAACTGAACTTTGCATGATCTGTTAGCAAGAAATAAATATCGATTATGTTAGGCCATTGAGATTCTGGGGTTTATCTGTTATTGCAGTTAACAGTTACTTTAACATAGTCAATGACCTCTAACTTGAACAATAACATTAATTTCCAATTAGAGTGCTGGAGGCAAAGCTTGTGGGGAAGAGGAAAGAGGGAGAGGGCAGCACATCACGAAATCAACGATCCCCACCATGTATTAGTTCATCGGGTCAAAGTGTAGTGTGGACAACGGTGGCCCCCATCCTCCACAGAACACCCTGAGAACAGAAAGTTAGAATATTCACATTTTATTACTTCCAGAATGTTACCTCAAAATATAAACTACCTCATGGGCTCTAACTCTCTGCCGTCGCCAAGCTCATATAAACCTTAATATGATCTGATTTTGGAAGCAAATATTAACACCTGTTCAAATCCCCTGCAGAGAAGAGACTTTCCCTGGGAGGTGTTCCTGTACTCATTTTGCCAACTTCCAGATGAATAAAGCTTGGGTTTCTTTTTGCTTCTTCCAAAAATATAATTTATTATATAACATTTACAACTTGAAAAAGGATCCTAGGATATTTTCTTGAATAATAATTAGAAGAGTAAAGTTCACGATGTGGGCTGTAAAGAGGTACCACCCCCCCCCCTTTTCTCTGCTGGGTGCATAGGTCAGTGGGATTTATTTGTGAGCCAGTCATTGGGAACTTGTTCTGCTCCTCCTGAGTACTGGGGGGCTGCTCTGGTGTTTGGAAGGAAGTAGGTGCCAAAGAGGTTAGTTTCTTACATTTTAGCTTTCCTGTTTTAGAGTGATCTTTGCAAAATACTGCCTCTCTGGCAATAGTTAATGGATTTATTATTTAGTCTGGAAGACAAAGAGAAACTTCCAGATCTCTTAGTGGTGGGGACAGGAGGAGCAGTGCCCTCAGAGCCAGTGCACGCTTGGGCGCTGCCTGGCTCTCCAGGACTTGGAAATGTCAAGACTCATCACCTGGGGTGGGTGGTGGGAGGGGTCCTTTAAATTATTCTACAGAAGAACACAGGAAGGAACGGCCAGGAGGGTCACTGGTGGGCTCAGGGGAGGCTGGATTCCAAATGTTACAGCCAAAGTTGGTTGGTCACAACCCTACTCACGACTCATCAGAAGAGCTAGTCCGCTTTACTGCGGACTGGTTCATCTCTGCTTCTGTAGAGTTTAGACACTGCCCTTTTGTTTTCAGAAATAAAGCCACTCTCAGTGGATTTCCAAGGTAAATCCAGCAGCAGCATCCCTCCCAAACATGGGCCTGCAGTGCACCTGAGGAGCACACCTGCAGGTGTGGGGCGTGGCCAGGATCATTCCAGCCCCTCATCGGTTCATAGCCCCACTGGGTCCTTCCCCGGGCTGCCTCAAGGAGGCCTCAATACCTCCTGGTGCTCAGGTCCAGTGGGGGCCTTTCATGTGGAATCCACCAACAAGCTCTGCCATTTTGGAAGGTGCAGGGCTTGGGCCCAACTGCTGGGGAGGGGATGGGGCTACCAGGGTGATGGGCCATAAACAACTGCGGTTCTGGGGGTCTCAGGCCTTAGTCTCATTGTAGCTCAGTTCTGGAATTTTCAAGCTTTTCTCCATCAAGAGATAAGCTAATATCCCACAGTGGCAGCTTTTTCAAGGCACGAGAAGAATTGAGACTTTTTCTTCAAATAACAATGAGAATTTGTTCTGAGCCTTTGTGATAAGAAAGGAGAAAGAAAATCATTCCTAGAGGCAGGAAGAACAGAAAATTGTCTCAACAAAAGGCACAGACTTCTCATTATAACTTACTATGCTTTCAAATAAGCATTTTTGCAAGTCCATTCTTCAGTTTAAAGTGGCTCGAAAGTCTTAGATGATCTTAGCCATGTCTTGTCTTAGGAGGAAAAGTCTCGTGGGAAGCTGGTGGATGAACTCCTTTGTCCCAGGGCCCAACCCCGCAAGCCACTCCCCTGGTGTGCACTGTGAGGCTGTTTTGCTACCGGCTGTCTTGGGTGGGGAGTGTGATAGGGGAATCCCTCACAGGAAGGGATCCCTACTGATTCAGTAATTATCCCCCACCCCAAAATGAAAAAGCCAGGACAGATACCTGGCACCCAAATCCCTAAAGAATGTGATATTATCATGAGTTTCTCAGTATCCTTTGAATAATGCAAATATTTCTTTCATGAGACAGTTGCAAAGTTAGAACTGCAGGACCCCAAATATAAATTTCAATGATTCCCTCTCCTCCCTTTTTATTAACTAACAAAAAATAAAAAATTAAAAAAACAAAAAAAAACCTTAAACCTCTTGGGAGCATTTAATACACAAAGAAAGATCAAAGAAGCAGAAAGGGCCTATCCTCTGCGGGCTGGGAAGCTCAGGGAAGAACCAGCACTTATGTACAAGAAGCGTGCTTGCGCGGAGCTCTGAAGGCTGGGCTGCACTCAAGCAGCAGCGGAGGGGGTGAGGCGGGGAAGTGGGCAACCCTGGGCTTGGTGGTTAAATGAACAGGTACTGGATTATTCCACGCTCAGGCGCCCACTGCCCTGGGTGACCCTGGGCGAGCTCCGAACCCTCTCCCCGCCTCTCAGGAAGGCGGGGGTAGAACCAGCGACTCCTTCATGGGGAAGCAAATTGGCCTGGGCCAGGTCTGGGGGACCTCTGCCTACTCCTGTTCTCATGGGGGCCTGCAGCTCTGCCTGCACCTGTGTAGAGAGGAGATTTTGCTATCTGCATGCCTTTTTCGAAGTTTGGGGAGACAACTTCTTTGTCTCTCTTTTCCAATCTCTTCCTCCCGTGGGCTGTCCTCTGCCACTTCTCTCCCTGCTTTCTACCCCAGTCTGGGCACTTCTCGCTCCTCGCCTCGCAGAGCTGAGGCTTCAGCAGGAGCTCCCGGCTTCCCGGCTTCCCAGCTTCCCGAGAAGGCCGCCTGGGTAGCCTGGGGCGTGGCGGGGCTGGGGTCTGCGCCCCTCTCTCCATCCACCTCCAGGCTGGGCATGCCCACTGACCAGGTCCAGCCCAGTCCTTGCCACCGCCTTTTGCTGACCATAGCACACACCTCCGGACCCGCTGACCCACACGGCAAAATCGAGTCCGCTCTCTTCCTCAAGCACGGAGCGGAGCTGCTGGCTTCCCTCTCCCTGATTCCCTGTTCTCCGTGCGGAGTCCCGGACTTCCTCCCTTATCTCATCTTCCTCCTGTGTCTCACCTCACACCGGTCCCTGTCCTTAGCCCCGGTCCTTCATGTCCTTTATCCTGAGAAAGAAGATCAACCCCACGGGAGAGAGTCTTTTCAGCGGCAACTTGTCTCTTACCCCTCGAATCATACAGGTTTATCGTAATCTTTAAATCGGTCCACTCCGCCCTGTCCTATTCAGGGGCTTCCCACCCACCACCCCACAGTTCTCCATCAGACCTCAGTTTCCAGATTCCCCCTTCCCCCAGGCGGTACATGGAAAGCTTTGTTCTGGGCTCACACTGGCTGGTCTGGGAAAGCGCCGACCTGGTCAGCTTTCACTACCACATTAGATTTCTGCCTAGTAAATGCCCGGAGAAGCACACAGCTCCTTGGGGAACAGGAAGGACGGCTAGATTCAGTTGTGTCTCACAGGGATGACTTTCGATTTACACTTTTTTTTTTTTTAAATAACTTTGGTTAAACAAGCCATTAAGGGCTTGACTGACAAGCCCTTAAGATCCCTTCAGATTTGATGCAGGTCTGATTATTTGCTTGTTCAGTTGGGGTATGTGTGTGTGTGTGTGTCTGCATTCGTTCGGTGGTTCAGTGTGCTTTGTCTTTGTGCTGAAACTCTCTCCCTCCCAGCGACATGACGGATGATGATTGCTTTTTGTGGTGCCTAATACATTGTTCTCCACTCCATGAATATTGTTACCTGACTCCCATTCCAACCCAAGGGGAATCCGGATTCACAGAGGAATAGAACCCTCTTACAAAATCTGGAGTACGATTACAATTTTACTTTTGAAGCACCCGTCTCCTGGAGGAATAGCCAGTGATCGATGCCACTGCCAGAAGCCCAGATGCACACACTCATACATCAGCCAGGAAATGACATAAACAGCTCACCCAGCAGGCCGTCGCTGACCCACCCACTTGCTCCCTGGTGAGAAGAGAGGTGACAGGAAACCAGGGCAACAGCAGGGAACAGACAAGGAGAGGAGTTTGAAGAGGACTGGGCTCCTGAAGGCTCACTTGATGGTTTCCTTCCTCATCTCGTACTGAGGGAAGCAGTCCCAGGCTAAGGTCTATAGTGACACTGCTGTGTGACCCGGATGATGGAGAGCTGTTTCATGGGTCCTGCGAGCGCACTGCCGGCTTCTCTTCCTGGTGTGTGCACATGGGTACATACGGCTCCACACACATACCTTCATCCTTCTATAGGCACAGGTGATGGGTACACTTTCCTTTGGGGTGGATGTGGCCTCCCTACGCAAAGCTCGTGCTATGGCATTTGTCTCTTTAGAGAGCAAGTCTGTGCTGATTCCAGCAGGATGGGGCAGCAGAGACTGGTTTGTTGCTAAGAAGATGTCTGAAAGATCAGGATATGATTAGGGCAGGAGAGTGGAAAGCAGTCCAGCAGGCCTGTGGGTGACTTGTGGGCGTGAGGGTGGTTTATCGATAGCGGCAGGCCAAGGCGTTGACATTCTTGACCACATAGAAGCCCATGGTGACTGGAGGGATGACCAATGTCCGGCCGGCCCGCAGGGGGCGGGGCTTCAGTTCGGGAAGGGTCCCATCGTCCACCATCACTAAGGGCTGGCCGTTCAGCTGCACTGACCTACAGCGAAGACAAATAGCATGGGACTTGTCAGTGCCTCATCACAGCCAAGCCTGGGCAGCCCTGGACTGTCTGCCAGTCTGTCTGGGACTGGCCCAGGGAGCCCTTACTGACACTTCCTATGCCCAAACTCTCAGCTCTGTGTTTTACTTTTGAAAAGCTCATTAAAAAACTCCAGCAATGCTCCGAGAAAGAAATTGCCATGATCCCATTTTACCTAGAGTGGCTAAAGTGACTGGTCCAAGGTCATCCAGCTTGTGGGTCTGGGAGCCTGGATTTGAACACAGGCTGTCTAGTTCCAGAGACACATCATTTAGACAAGTGAAAAGTATGATGCAGAAGCTGAAAAGTGTATTACACCTACTTTTAAAATCATAATAGCAGTTCAGTTTGATTGTATACCTGAAGAATTTTTCCCTGTGGAGTGATGTACAGGCTTAAGATGACTTCAGAAGTCTCCTTTTTAAAAGATCTCTTTAATTTATTTGTGAGATTAGAGAATGAACATCACGTTACTTGTCTAGGTTTGTTCTGAAGGAGGAGAGAGACACTTAATGATTTTCCTTTTTCTGAGAATGAGTTTTCAAATCTTTTTTTTTTTTTTTTTTTTTTTTAAGGAGAGAGAGAGTGCGAGCTGGGGTGGAAGGATGGAAGGAGAGGGGGAGAGATAATCTTAAGTAGGCTCCATATCCATAACCAGTGTGGAGACCAACTCGGGCTCGATCTCATGACCCTGAGATCATGATTAAGCGTTGGACTCTCTACTGACTAAGCCACTTAGGTGTCCTTTATATCTCATATTTTACGGATGTTTCTGTTCCAGCAACATGGTGGAGTAGGTGATAAAGTAGGGGTTTTCTAACTCCCGCTCACCCATCCTGCTTGCTTTTCTTCTTCCTGTGGACCAGCCGTCTTCAATCCTGAGAAGAGGGCCACATACAGAGTATACTTAGGAGAAAGGGAAGTAGCTCATCACCCATCCTTGGCCTGTGGTACAGAATCCAAAAAACTTCCCAGCTGTTCCTGGAATGACTTGTACAGCCATGTATCCAGATTGAAGCTCAGTTTTCTGGGTTAGAAGAAAAGGCCAGAGCCAGACCACCCTAGAAATAAGGCCGTGAATTCACCCTCAGAAAATCAATGTTGCATAGTGATGACTGTTTTGGGGTCCTGCCCGACCTCCAATGTGATGACAATGCAGTGATATTATCTGAGCTGTAAAGAGAATGAAATGTTACACACTGATATAGAGGTCTTTGTTCCGTGTTCCTGCTGTTCTGTGAGTGGTAGACAGGTTTGGAGAGAGATGGTTAGCACAGCAGACTGGAGAATTCCCAGAGATAAGTGAGCTGTGAGTTGCTCCCAACAGAGGGCAAGGCAGGGAGGCAGGTCCAGGCCCGGTCCCACATCGATAAGTTTGGGTCTGATCCAGATCCAACAGGCCAGAGACAGCCACCCTCCTCTTACTGGTGTGACTAAGGAATGACAGAGTGAGCAGGGGACTCCTGTGTGGAAAGCCAGACCTGCCTCTGGAAAAGTACAGAAGTAGGAGAACTGAGATCTGGTAAGTATTGACCTCATCAAAACTGGAAGGAGCTTTTGCTCCAAATTTAAGTGACTACCTCTGGTGAAGAGAGCCTATTCACTGGACTGGGAGGTGGGGTAAGGAGAAGGGGTCCAGTTGCAAAAGACAAAAAAAAAAAAAAAAGAAAGCCAGAACAGGTCTTCACAGCGTACTTTCATTATTTTGTTTCAGGTGGTGTGATATCCAACAACCAGACATATATATGCACCATCAAATACAAGTTCAATAATACTAATTAATCTTTCCAATGCATCCTCAGTTAATATCACTGCTCTACTTGAAGACCTTCAATGATCCCTCTTGCATACGGAACCGCGAGCAAGCCCTCCCCATAAGGAATGAGATAATGTCCTTTTAGCATCACACCATCCCAGAGCATTGCTCTATGTCTGGGTTCTGGGAAGTGTGATAAGCAAGCCTTTGAATGTCTATATTGTTATTCTCTAACAGGACCCATTCTGCTTTCCTTGTTGGTTATTTGTAAAAAGCTAACCCAAGTGTGGGTTGAAACAGGGGGCATGGTTGAGATTCTGGGGACGGATCTCTAATTCCAGGAGCCCAGTCACTCACTCACTTAGACAGTCACCTCCCTTCCAGAGCTTTCCCATCTGTGCAATTGCTGTAGGCTCCAGGACCAGGGACATGGAGTACAAAGTATGGGACGCTCTGACAGCATAACCAGTCCCGCAAGTAGGAGATGGGGTTTTGTTATTAATTCTTTTCACCATAGCTGCGGGTAAACTTACTGGTCCTTGTACTTGACTGCTCTCGGGACTGACAAGTTTCATGGCTCCTTCTTAAAGTCCTCTCTTCCCTTGGTTCCCATGGTATCTCTGTCTCTCTCTCACCCCCATTCTCCTTCTCCTTCATTTCTGCAAGTGGTTGCCTGTTAAGAGGGACTGTTCGCTTCTACCTGTCTCATATATTGGGGTTCTTGGTGCCTTGTCCTTGGACCTCTTCTCCCACACTCCATACTCCCACTGAGTGCTGTCACCCACACCCAGAACTTTGTTATCCATGTCAATTCTCCCCAAACATAGCTTAGATCCTTCTTCTAACTAATGCCATCTCCACTTGGCTGTCCCACAGGAACTACAAAGCCACTATGTCCAAAGTAAAAATGGTATCCTCAAACCCTGTCCTTTTCTTAGCCTTTTTTGTGTTGGGGCCACCATCTACCCAATGACCTAAGCCAGAAAGCTGGTCATCTGGGATTTCTCCCCCAATTCCCACGTCGGGTGTCACAAAGTCAATTCTACCTTTTAATATTTTTCATATCTGCTTCTTTCTCTCTGCTAGTGCTACTAACTTAGTTCAGAACTTGCCATGTAACTGATCTCTTTGCCCCCTGCCTTGCCTTCCTCCTGCTGCTTGCCACATTGCTGACAGAGCAATCAATTTCTGTCACTGCTTTAAACTCTTCAGCATCTCCCCGTGCCTTCCACTTTCACGTGGACAATGAAGCCCCATTCTGGCTAGCTCTCCAGTCTTGGGTCCTGCCAGTACCCCCGACCCCAATGCTAACTATGGCTCCCTGGCCTCTGGGGGTGAGCATGGGCTGATTGGCTGTTCTTTTCAGGTCATCACCAACATATGCACAAACAAAGATTGTTTCACAGTGAAAAGCTAGTTAAATCTTGCTCATAAATGAAATAAATAGTTCTCAAATGACAACGTAAGTAGATATTGTTGGGAATGAAGTATGAAAGTTCATTTAAAAGTATAGTAAATATTTTTCAAGTGTAAGTACCAGTAGACACTGTTGGGATTAATAAGACACAAGTTCATTTAAAACTGTTATAAAATTCCTAATAGCTTTTTTGGGAGGAGAGGGGCATCATGTGCTTTTTTCAAGCAAGAGATTTTAAAGATTTTATTTATTTATTTGAGAGAGATAGAGAGAGAGCGAGAGAGCGAGCAGAGGTGGGAGGAGCAGAGCCTGACACGGGGTAGGGCACTCAACTTCAGGACCCTGAAATCATGCCCTGAGCTGAAACCAAGAGTCAGACACTTAACTGACTGAGTCACCGAAGTGCCCCTCAAGCAAGAGATTTTTTTTTTAAGATTTTATTTATTTATTTGAGAGAGAAAGAGAGAGAGAGAGAGAGAGAGAGCATGAGAGGGCAGAAGGTTAGAGGGAGAAGCAGACTCCCAATGGAGTTGGAAGCCTGATGCTGGGATCACGACCTGAGCCGAAGGCAGTCGCCTAACCAACTGAGCCACCCAGGCACCCTCAAGCAAGAGATTTTAAAAGGACAATTACTGTAATGTGGGAGGATGGTGACATAAGCTGACATCACTACGGAACCCTGGTCCTTTTACAGGCCTGGCCCCCTTGCCCTGCAGGACCAAAGTAAACAATGTGCAGTTTCACTTCACAACTCACCCTCCTCCCCTGTCGGACTAACCACACTGTGTCCTTGCAGAACCTGCTCAGGTGTTGTCCTTTCTGGGGAAACTTCTCTGATCTCTGGGCTGGGCTAGGAGCTCCAACTCTGGATTCTCTTCTACCCCAAACTTATCTATGACTACCTCACTGAGTTGTAGTGACTTACTCACTATCCCCCTCACTGGGCTGTGAGCTTGGTGAGAAAAGGGATCATGTCTTTCATCCCTAACTCCTCGCTGCCTAACAAGGTGCTCGGCCTGGAGGAGGGATGAAATATCTTTGAACAAGTGAATGAACTTTGAGGTTCTTTTGCACTACTTCTTATCTTTGAGGTGGAGTTTCTCCAGCTTCAGAGAGGTTCCCTGGAGGTTTGCTGAGTGTCTTTACGGATTTCATTAACCTACCAATTACTCTCTCGCTCTCAGTGGCTCTGGAGATATGAGATAAGACCTGAATTATTGCTGATTCTCAGTCACTTACCAGATACCTTATCCCAACCTGACAGGAAGCCATTGATTACGGATAGTATTTTTCTTCCTTAAAAAAAAGATCCATTTGACCATCTCTTAACTAAGCCAACATGAGTTAATTCAGGGAGACCCTGAGTCTCCACACATCCTCATCTATAAATTCCCTCCATTATAGACAGGCCACATACTTTACCACCTCCATTCTATTTTTCCTGCTTACATTTTTATTTTAATATTTATCCTATTACCCAGTGAAGTCATATCATGCTAAATATTACAATAGTCTTTCATTTTTATGAACAATTTGTAAGTTTGAAAACATAGTCACACTGATGATAAAAATCATTGATTAGTAATGGCGATGACTATTTTGTACACAAAGGCATTTTGTTATGATTTCATTTGACTATCGCATTTAGTCCTTCCAACAACCAGCCGAGGCAGGGGTTAGCAACCCTATATTATGGATGAGGAAATCAAAGTTTAGAGGGGTCTCACCTAAGTCACAAAGCCAGTAAGTGATATGGGTGAGATTTGCAACACTGCCCTTCACCAT